GGGGGAGAGGTGCTGGGCGTGCAGGCCCAAGCCTGCCTCCAGGGCGCAGCCTCCGCACCACCACACCCCTTCTTGCCCTGGCCCTGGGGGCTGAGGGTCAGCGCTTCCTGAGGACGCTGCAAGCTCTGCTCTCCCCGCATAAATTGACAGACAGACATGAATGGATAACAACAGAAAAATGGTATCAGAACAGTGGGAATCAGCAATTTTGCACAGGAAGCTTTGGGAGAGGTTGTTTACTGTAGCCTGCCTGAAGCTGGGACCACACTGAACGAACAAGATGAGTGTGGTGCATTGGAATGTGTGAAAGCTGCTAGTGAACTCTATTCTCCTCCATCAGGAGAAGTAACTGAAATTAATGAAGCTCTTGAGGAAAATCCAGCACTTGTCAACAAATTTTGCTATCAAGATGTCTGACTGATCAAGATAACACTCAGTAATCCTTCAGAACTGGTGAGACACATGTAAAACCTATTGAGTAGTGAAAATGGAACCCCTAAATAAACTAGTATCAAACAACTTAATCTAGCGTAGTTGTTTTAAATTAGTGGTGCATAGAGCATTTAAAATAGCAATTTTTAGCAGTACCAGTGGAAAAAGAAACTACTTGCAACAATGCTAATGAAAGGAAACACCCCTTAACTTATGATTAAGATAAACACAATATGCATCTTTTTTGCAACACCCTATGATTTTTAGGCTAGGCTCCAGTTACAATATTCAGAATCCTGAAATTGCCTGTGGTCAAAAACTAGTTATAAAAATTATGTAATTCAAAAAATAAAAAGAATAAAAATTTTGTAATTCAAGGATGACTTTTAAGCCTTAGGGAATATTGTAACTTGCTTACATCTAACCTTGAATTAGGGTCAAAATACTTAAATGACCAGTCCATTGGAAGTAACTGGCAGTGGAGAAAGGTTTGTTAGTTGTATAGTATCAGATAAAGAATGATACTATCTTAGCTGTGCAATATACTGTGCTTGCTGGTGCTATTTTTATATGGTGAAGCAACAGGAAGATAAATAGTTTAATAATAAAACATTCAACTTCTTTGTTAAAAAAAAGAAGGCACCAAGTTATCATCACAAGAAAAAAATGTAACTATGGTGACAGATATTAACTAAATTTCTCATGGTGATCATTTGCAATATATGCAAATGTCAAATCATTACATCGTATACCTGAAACTAATATAATGTCTCATGTCAATTATACTTCAATCAATAAAAATATAAAGCAAAAACAACAACAAAACCCACCACAAAACACTGTATTACACCTATTAAATGATGGGAAAATATTAATTAGGTGAACAAATTCTGACAAGTGAATTGCTATACATACGTTGCTGGTAGCATATCAACTTAGATAATCCAGCAATACTTATCAAGAGTCAAAGGGTGCCTGGGTGGCTCAGTTAGTTAAGCGGCAGACTTCAGCTCAGGTCATGATCTCACACCTCTATGGGTTCAAGTCCCGCATCAAGCTCTGTGTTGACAGCTCAGAGCCTGGAGCCTACTTCGGATTCTGTGTCTCCCTCTCTCTGTGTCTCCCCTACTCATGCTGTCTCTCTCTCTCTCTCTCTCTCTCTCTCTCTCTCTCTCAAAAATAAACATTAAAAATAAAATTTTTAAAAAGTCATACAATTATGCATGCTTTGAACAAGGAATCATATTCATGGTAAATTATACTAAGAAAATAATTCAAAATATAATTTTTAAAATATTTACTAACCAAAATATCTATGGTGAAAAATTAGAAACAATCAAAGATCAAAAAATTACAGTCTTGGAGCACCTGGGTGGCTCAGTCAGTTAAGCATGCGACTTCAGCTCAGGTCATGATCTTGTGGTTCATGAGTTCAAGCCCCACATGGGGCTCTGTGCTGACAGCTCAGAGCCTGGAACCTGCTTCAGATTCTGTGTGTCTCTCTCTCTGCCCCTCCCCTGCTCACACTTACTTGCTCTCTCTCTCTCTCTCTCTCTCTCTCTCAAAAATAAACATTTTTTAAAAATCTTAAAAAAAAAATAAGAGTCTTGAGACACCTGGGTGGCTTAGTTGGTTAAGCATCTGACTCTTGATCTCAGCTCAGGTATTGATCTCAGGGTTATGAATTCAAGTCTGGGTTCTGTGCTAGGCATGAAGTTTACATGGAAAAAAATTTAAAAAATAAAAAGGAGTCTTGAGCATCAGTCTGAGGAGCTACTACTCACATAATTTAAAATATAAGATTTATCCCTGTAGCTAATTAATATTTATAGAGCCTAAAGCCTAATATAAAATTATACCTACACTATCATCATAACTATGCTGAATATGAATCTAACATGTGTAAGTACTGTCAGAGAAAAAAATGAAATCATTTGATAAGGTAGTAAAATCCTATCTAATATGTCTTTCTTTTTATTCATGTAATTATTACCATCACCATGTTATTTTTCTGGTTATTGCTCTTGATTATGAAACAAATAGAAGCCAATAAAAATACTAATTTCTGATATTGTCTGCAGTTTTCAAAATAACTTTCACTATATTATTAGAGGGAAAATAATTCAAATTTGATTCCAATGCTATAAGACTATATGGTAACAAGTATTAATAGATTTCACAAAAATTTATTTTCCATATTTTGTAAGATTAAAAATCAGACCTGGGAATGCAAGCTGGTGTAGCCACTCTGGAAAACAGTATGGAGGTTCCTCAAAAAACTAAAAATAGAACTACCCTAC